GAGAATCTGGGAGTTTTAATCTGTCTGGCACTCTAGTCGTTCACTTATGGGCCATGGGAGCAAATTATGTTACTAGAAAAGAACGTATTTCAGTCTATAAGAGAAGCCCGATGTGAAAAATCAAATGTGAACTTGGAATTGGACAGATCACTATCCACACAGCCTGCCTCCGCTGCAAAAAGTGAGCAAAGACAGAAGAAAATCATTTTTCCTTTCTGAAAAGATCTCGCTTTGTCTGAGGCTGAGTAAAGAAAAAAGTATCCATCTGCTAGTTTAGAGACAAATTCACATAATGGCCTAGGGGTCCACACCAGCTCCCTAGAAAACTCCACAGCACCCATTTTGTTAACGTAGTTGGATAAGCAATTTTACTTATGATAATTTTGTCTTACAGATATGTGGACACATATACACAGTTAAAAAGCTGTACGTATAATCATTCTAGCAACAAGACTGTAAACACTTTATTATCGATGAGAAATGGGTCAAGTTAAAAATCACATATATTCAGTAAAGTTCAAGTCATAAGTCATGCCCCACGGCAACAGAAAAGAATGAAGAAGCTTTTTATGTCCTGATATATTAACATCTTCAATATATATTGCTAAGTGAAAACGGCAGAATAGCCCCGTACAACAGTGGAATCGAATTGAGAGCTTAGACATAAACCCTCACAGGCATGGTCCATTGACTGCAATAATGGAGCCAAGACAGCGCTGTGACGCCTACAAAAGGATGAATCTGGACCCTTACCTCACACCATATCCAACGATTAACGCCAAGAGGAGCAAAGACCTAACAATAGGAGTTTTCGCTGAAGAAAACTCAGGCATAAATCCTTGTCACCTTGTATTAGTCAGTAGTTTCTTAGATGTGATGCCAAAATCACAAACAACCAAAGAGAAAACGGCTAAATTAGACTTCTTCAAAATGGAACGCTTTGGTGCTTTAAAAGACAACACCAAGGAAGCTAAAAGATGACCGTTAGACAGCCGCCCTCCCAGGACAAGGTGGGGGGAAGTGTTTGCAAATGGTGTATCTGCTCAAGGCCGTGCGTCCAGGTTGTATGAAGAACTCTTACAGCTTAACAGTGAAAAGACAGCTCAGTTAAAAAGTAGGCAAAGGGTCTAAATAGATACTTCCCCAAAGGAAATATAGAAAGAGCCAATTAGCTCAAAAAGTTACGTGGCGAGTGTTCACATAAGCTAGCAATTCTGCTTCTAGGTAGATACCCAAAGAATTGAAAAATCATGGCCACAAATACACCTATGCATGGATATTCATGCCAGCCTTATTCAAAACACCTGCAATAGAAAAAAAAAAAGTGTCAACTGATTAATGGATAAACAACATGGAATATTACCCGGCCATAAAAGAACCAAGTACTGATTCATCACATGATATGGAAGAACCTTGAAAACATTATCCTGTGAAAGAGACCAGTCACAAAAGACCACGTACTGTGTGATCCCATTCATGCCAAGTGTTTAGAATAGGCAAATCCATCAAGACAGAAAGCAGATTAATGGCTGTCAGGGGCAGGGGAGGGGGGCAGCGTTTCCTCCTGGGGGATGAAAATGTTCTCGAACTGAAAAGGAGGGATGGTTGCACAATTCTGTCAAGAAACTACTGAACTGTAATCTTTAAATGGATATATTTTAAGGCATGTCAGTTATACCTCCACAGAATTGCTGCTTTTTCAATGGTTTGATAGGAAATATTGGTGTTTAAATGTTTTAAATATATTTTGAAGTATGTTAATATCTTAATAACGAGGACATATAATCAGATACTGGGATACAAAGACTGTAAGTGGGCCAGATATCTGTCTTTCATATCAGGGAGTTAATAGATACCGTCTGGTGTGGCAAATAAAAAAATAGGTATAAATGTGTCCTCTCAAGTTAGGCGAGCACCTTGCAACAGAACTGAAAACAGAACCAGTTCTAAGCTATGGTCTCTGGATAACAGCAGGTTAATAGGAGAGTTCTTGTCTTCAGCCCTTTTATACTATTTCATTTGTTAATGAGTGAATACATATTTATTTTAACCAAATATTTTTTTTTAATTTTTTTAACGTTTATTTATTTCTGAGACAGAGAGAGAGAGAGAGCTTGAGCAGGGGAGGGGCAGAGAGAGAGGGAGACACAGAATCTGAAATAGGCTCTAGGCTCTGAGCTGTCTGCACAGAGCCCGACGCGGGGCTCGAACTCACGGACCACAAGATCATGACCTGAGCTGAAGTCAGACGCTTAACCAACTGAGCCACCCAGGTGCCCCATTAACCAAATATTTTTAATTACAACAGACTAGAGTTATAATAACAGCTTGCAAAGTTTTCCAAGAAATCTGTGAAGAAACCAAGTTGCAGAAGAGAATACATAATACGATGCCTTCGTTGTTTTGTTTTGTTTTGTTTTTCTTAAGGAAGCAGCAGAAATTATTGTATCTTTCTGTATGAGTGGGAGGTGTCCAGAAGTGCCCAGAATGGCTGGGAAGACACTCACAGGACAGTGAATCTGGCTACTTTCACCTTCCAGATTTTTCTCCACCAGGACTGTGCTTCCTTCATGATACTTTAAGTATTCAGATAGGCAATGGCAATCACTCCTTTTTTAAATCTTTTAAAATTTCATCTGATTTTCTATTGCCTTAATAATACCTATCTTCCAATTAATCGGCAAATAATTTAAAGGCAGATAATTCAGTCTTTGGAAGGTAAGTCACACGTGAGGAGAGAAAGGCAGGCAGCAGCATTGTTCTTTGAAGACAGAACAATACAGAACAACCCTTCGTCCTTGACCTAAATTCTACTTGAGATTTTGGCAAGTTTTCTCAGAGCCTCCCCCCCTTCTCCCCGCAGAAAAATGTACCAAGAACTTGAATAAAAACAAACACTGGAGAACAGGGGAAATGTCATCCAAGTACAGAAAAATACTTAGCCAGGGGATTAATGAGCTGGGTCGAACCAAACAGCCAGAAGCAGGGGAAAGTATAGTCCCTGAGGGAAAAAACAGACAAAGCCAATAAGCTATAAAATGCAGTGGAAAGAAGAGGCAACTTTGTAGATTCCTACACAGATAATACCCAGTTAGAGTTCAATTTGAAATCAACATGAATTTCTTTAAAAAAACATAATTGAAGGGCTTGGAAATTTACAATGAGTATAACGAATTTCTGGTGTCCAGCTCAACTAAATGGTCCAGATTGATCAAGCGTGACTTTTTGTCACCACTTGATGGCAACAAAGTTAATCCACAGGAGCAGTCATGGACCGGGCAGCACCGACCTCTCCATCGTCAACTCTGATCTGTAGCTGTTACAAGAGGGAGCGCCTTTACCGATCAGGACACAGTTCAGCGAAATTCACCAGAACAGGAAAGTCATTTCAGACCCTCCAAAATGATTGCCTACATGGGCCTTTGCCTTCTAAAAGATCAAGCAATATTCTTTGGCAAGCTCAGGAAGGAAGGAAGAAAAGATTACTGCATTCAGAAAAAATTTTAATTTGCCTAGCTACAGTAATTGGATTTTTATTCACATGCAGTATGTAGAGAATCACAATGGAATGCACTTAAACTAGGTTAAAATGATATCCTTGAAATGTCATTTGCAAAATTAGTTTGTAATACACAGCATTCCCCTGGCCTAATGTTAAGCAGATTTTTATGATACGTTTCAAAGCAATTTTCCATTGGAAGTTTCTAACTTTCATCCCTTTGAGCCTGTATCTGGGCATGTTGTGCAGGACATTGATCTCTCCTCCACAGTTTTAATATGGAGTCTTCAACAAAAAACTCAAAGGAACAGCTCTGGCAAAGCAAGTGGCCATCGTGCACTTCAACCTGCAGACTGGATGACCCACCTTTCATGAAGGATCCTTGACTCCAGGGGGAAATCTTTTTTTTTTCCTTAAACCATTGTGTTAGGGTTCCCAGGGAAACAACCCAGAGAGGGGTGTGTGTGTGTGTTTGTGTGTGTGTGTGTGTGTGTGTGTGTGTTGATAGAGACATTTATTGTGAGGGATGGCCCGCACTATCTATTCCCAAGGCTGAGATCGGCCATCAGCCGCCTGCAAGCTGGACGCCCAAGAAGGCCAGCCGTTGCTTGCGTCCTGAGAGTGGGAGACGGAGGGCAGGACACCCACAGCCCCTCTAGCTAGCTCCGCCTTCTCTGCCTTTCCGTCCTTTGGGGTTGGGTAGACTGGACGCCTCCCGCCCACACGGGGGAGGGCCGTCTGCTTCACCCCCTGAACTCTCTCACATGCCCATCCCTTCCAGAAACACCCCCACAGACGCACCCAGAAATCACGTTTAACCAGACGTCTGGCCCCTGTGGCCCAGCCAGCCGAGTTGACGTGTAAACCTCCTCATCACGCCCAACAACCGTCTTCCACTCCTTAGATCGTGTAACAGAGTCAGGCAAGTGTGCAGTGTTGCTCACGATTACCCACATGAGCCCCTGCGCGTGTTGTTTGTGACGGACACCGATGCGGGTTGAAGTGCGAGGGGCAACGACACCCCGCGCGAAGTCCCACCGGCCGCAGGCGGAGACTGGCGAGTGACCCAGCCACAGGCAAGGCTGGTGGGCAAGCCGAGGGCTGTTTGCACTGATGTCAGGAGTCACGCAGCCCGGACAGAGAGCACCACGGGCCACGGCGTTACACAGGCGTGGGGCGGAGACGGGCTGCTGCCCAGTGAGGGGGTCCCCAGTGAGACAGAGAGCACACCGGCTTCCAGTTGGGTGGCGAAGGGAGGAGTGCTAAGCCCCCAGACCAGGCAGCGCGTCAACCCTGCCATCTGGGAGGGAGACCCCACTGCTAGCCCACAGGTCACTCCCCAGGGACCCTCTGCCCCCCGGGTCTTCAACAGGGCAGAAAAGGTGGTGGCAGGAGGGGCTGATGGGCGCCCTGCTTCCCCGTCCTCTGCTGCCAGCCGGCCCAGGGCTCCCCTTAATGCAACACCCGGAATTTCCAGGCCTCAGCCCAGAATCACTCGTCATACGCAGGCCAGGATTTTACTTTCGTGCAACTATCGGAAGTATGTTTCCACAAGGGTGGCATGTTTCTACTCAGAGCCCAGGGCACCCTCCAGGAGTTCACGCTGACCCCGCTCTCGCAGGAGAGCCCTGGGTTGGGCCAGGTGAGCCGGATGGGGACTCTGGTGGCTCCTGAGCACCGCGTGCAGGTTGAACAGGAGCGCCTCCTGCTGGTAGCGCTGAATCCTCCCCCCCACGCTGCTGGCTACCAGGAGCATGTAGGTCGCCAGCTGGTCCACCCAGAGCCCCCCACGTGACCGGCTCATCGTGCCCTCCGGTTACAGGTAAGTCAGAGGCGACCACCTCCCAGATCTACTCCTTCACGTCCGAGAAGCAAAGAAAACACCGGAGGACGTGGACGGTGACTGCAAGCCTCGTTTTTCCTGAAAGACACAATAGATTTGCAAAGACGAAAAAGGAGAAACAGAGCATCATCACACAAGCAAAGGCCACCGTTCACTTTTTCTACCCGCATTTTCCGTTCTCAGCTTTCTTTTTCCTCAGAGAAGTGTTGATAGTATTTATTTAAGCTTAAGATGAACCCTCACTCAGAGAGAAACAAGACACAAGAGACCTTCTGTGCCTATCAGGAAGCTTGGAGGGGCCGCCAAACTGTCTCCGGTTCCTCGCTGTTTATTTTTCTATCCAGCGCGCTCAGAAAATAGAGCCCATAGCAAATCGTTACTGAGATAGGCTTGCTGAATGCTCATGCGGTTCTTGGCAGGCACGTGACGTATTAGGATGAATTCCCTGTTTATGTTCGTGCTGGGTAACGTCCTAGCCCTGACCTTGCAGGAACATCGTCTCTTAGTTCATTCCTTCCCCGCATACTTGGTGAGCGCCGGCTCTGGGTAGGGCCAGCAGACCTGCCACCAAGGAGACCGTCAGAGAGTCCAGGCAGGACTCCAGACGGAGGCAGGACTTTCCGGCTCACCGGACATTCGTCGGGTCCGGACCGCCGCCACCTGGCACGGCACCGTGCGATTCTGCTGGACCCAACACTGTGGCAATGGGCTGACGGGTGGTGGGCGCCTGAAATGCGCCCAGGGCAACTGCGAACGGAGTCGTTCATTTCATTTTATTTTTGTTGGATTTAAAAAACCAGCTGTGGCCGGCGGCTTCCCTACTGGACAAGGTGGACGTGGCTGACCCACGGCGGAAGCTCCGTAGTCGTGGCGGGAACAGGAGGTGGTCCCTGCCCCGATGGACGTGCCCGTGGAACGCGGGGGGAGAGAGAGCGATCCCGTCAAATGATGATAGAATCAATCTGTAATTTCAAATTATGATCTGGCCTCTGAAAAGCACACGGTGAGGTAAGGGAATGTGACCGAGGGCCTGGAGGCCCGGGGACACTGTCTCTGAGCAGTGATGTTGGGTCTAATATCAGAGTGCAGGGGTCAAGCGGAGGCACGGAGAGAAGGGAGGGGGGCAGAGTGGTGGGAGGGGGAGGCAGGAAGGGGCAGCGCAGGGCAGGAGGGAGCGGGGCTGACAGAGCAGGGCTGTGGGAGGAGGGTGGCCAGGCCAGGCAGGTGTGGCGGGTGTTGTGGGGGTTGCTCCGCACCCCAGCACCGACGGGAACGTGCTGGAGGGCTCGGACGGCGGGGGGCCTATAAGACTCATCTGTCTATGTTGTAGAACGTTAATTAGCAGGGGAAAAGCGAGGGTTCGAGGACACAGGTGGACACGGGCTCCCAGGACCCCCCGCCCCGGGCTGTAGATGACAGTGGCTCACCGAAGGGTAACGCCGGACAGAGCGGTCCTCTGGAAAAAGAGCGGGCGGGGCCGGGCCAGCACTGGCCGAGAGGGGATGGAGCGCTGCGCCCCTCGGAGCCTCTGCGAAGCCTGGCGAGGGAGTACTGTGCTGGGAACGCCCTGGTCCGTCCAGGTATCCGCGGGAAGAGTCAGTGCCCGCATCACAGGTCGGCAGACGCGAGTTACGTCCCTTCCGTCACCCGTGCGACCGCTCCTGCCAGATGCCAGGCACGACCTCCCGCAGCAGAGACCGCCGTGAGCAGGCCAACACAGGGCTCCCCCCGGGCTGTGCGTGAGCACGCCTGAGTTCCCTGAACCAGGAGGGACAGAAAATCATCATGAAATCACCAGCTCTCATGCCGACAGCGTCTTCCTGTCTATCAATCTACTTCTTGAGATCTTCAGACGGGTCACAGGCGCTCTCCCGGCTTCCGCAGCGTAACCCCAGTCCCAGCGCACAAAGCGCTTCTGTCATTCTTAGACTGGAAAAGTCTGCCTGTTACCAAAGGCACTCGACACAGACCGCTCGTTTCCAGCAGGCGTGGTGGCGGGTCTCGGCGAGGACAGGCTCTCACACCACACCGTGTCGGGGCCGGCCCGTCGGGCGTGAGAAACACCACCCAGCGTGGCACCACGGCCGTGAGCGGCCGGGGAGCTTGCTGCTGTCCCCAGCACGTGACGCAGCGAGAGCTTACCCGTCTGTCTCCCCTTCCAAACGAGGCAGGTCGAGCATCAGTGGGAAAATCTGGTTAAAATTCACTCACAGTTAATGCAGCCGAGACGTCACCAATGTCAGGATGTGGCCTAATGCTTCTGTGTTCAAAGCTCCCTGTCACCCAGGCTGGCCGGCCCGCAGAGGGAGTGGGCGGGCCGGCCGGTCTGCAGCCCAGGTGCGTCCCCAAAGCAGGTGCGTCCCAGGCTCCTAGACGGAAAGGCTCTGTGGCACGGTGTCCCCTCTGCCGAGAAGCCCCAGCTGGAGCACGTCATTGGCGAGGAAGGTTCGCTCGCACCAGCTCTGCGGCCACACCTGCCCGAGGCCTCTCCCCACCTGGGACGCCCCCTCCCTCGCCCGTTTCTGGGGCGACAGTCAGTTAAGTGTGTCCAGACTCACTGGAGGCCCGGCAAGGCAGGACCCCGGTCTCAGACAACAGGCTGAGAAAATTCTGACTTTTACTCGGGATGGGGGACCGTGGAGCCCCCGATTTCTGCCCCGGCTTCATACCGAGAGCCGCTTAATGCCAGCCTTGCTCCCCACGTCTGCCTTTGCTCCGATGAAGAAGGACGTCACACTCTCCGAGGCAGGATGTTCACAAAGGCCGTCCCCCGATCGGGAGGGGACAAGAGGAACGGAGCGGTTCCAGGACCAGCTTTTAAGAAGCCGGAGAGCAGAGCCACGTACCTCCCGGCAAAGCTTTGAGCCGCGGCTCCCACCCACGCTGAGGTCCTCCCTCTGGTGCCGGGCGCACTGCCCCCAACGGGGCCTGGAGCCCATCGGCCCTGCAGGCGCACACGGAAAACACATCGGCAACCCCTGAACCACTCCTTCCAGACAGAAGAAACTCTGACTTTGTGATCCTGTGCCCAGAACAGATGCCATTCAGGACCGGTATTTACAGGTGTGGCTTTCAACAAATGATTTCCATTTGGGAAAGGCACCTTTTGAACAAGCAAGCAAAAATTAAGTTTCATGAGTTCAAAAACAGAGATTTCCATTTCGGCAGTAGAGGAAATTCCTTGGGAAGCGCCCACGTGGGTGCCGAGCCGGCTGCCGGGCACCCTGGGCGGTGGTCTTGCCCCACGAGCTGCTGTCCCTGCCCCCACTCGCACTCCTCGCTGATCCCATCAGGCCTCTCCAGGCTTCCTTTGGCAGAAATGTGCCCAATGTCATAAAAACAAGAAAATAAGGGCTCCTGGGTGGCTCAGTCGGTTGAGCATCTGGCTTCTACTCAGGTCATGATCTCATGATCCGTGAGTTCGAGCCCCGCGTCGGGCTCTGTGCTGTCGGTTAGGGGCCTGGAGCCTGCTTGGGATTCTGTCTCCCCCATTCTCTCTCTCTGCCCCTCCCCTGCTCATGCTCTGTCTCTCTCTCTATCAAAAAATGAATAAACGTTAAAAAAAAAAAGAGAGAGAGAGAGAGAGAGAAAATAAACCCAAACTGCTCCTTTAACAAAACTGGAGATACCTGTTCCTGCAAATCACCCAACATGAAGAAGACGGAAGGTGGGGGACAAACCAGAAGACACGGCACAGCCAGACTGTCAGAGCGTCTGCAGGCAGCGAGAAAGGCCTGGTGTTTGCGGGGGGATTGGTCCCCGGCGGGACGCTGGTCCCCCCAACTCCCAGGACACTCACTGGCCCTCCCCTTCTCGCTTCCCAGAGGCAGGAAACAGGTCCCAGGAGAGGCAAACAGGGAAGAAACGCAGTCTGCCGCCGAGTAACATACAGTAGGTGTGCGTTACAGGCCTCCGTGCACCTTGTTTGGGGGCTTAGGAAACACCCGGTTGGGCAGAGATGGTGAGTATGTTTTTCTCTTCAGGCAGCCGGGAAGATCACTGAGATCACTTAGAACCCAGGTGGTTCTCCCTGGGGGTGGGTCTGTCCTCCCAGAGGACGGCTGTTGTCGGGCGGGGGTGGGGCGGGGGGTAGGAGGGTAACCACCCTTCAGTGCACCGACAGCCCCCTGCCCAACAAGAATTCTCCAGCCCCAAACATCCAAAACAAAATGCCGTGGTTGAGACGCTCTGCTTTTCGCCCATAAACTTTCTAGCCGATTCCTTGCGGCACGGGCTACAAAGCAAGAAATAGAAAAGGGGCAAAAGGGAGAAAGAAGCAGGGCTACCCTGTTCCCATGGACACTGCGTATTTTTGTCCGCTTCTGAGTCATAGTAAAGGCAAAGGCTAAAACGGCATGACTAATTCACCGTGAACTCCTGGCTTTTACGCATGAGTAATATCCAAACCCCAAACAGCATAATAAGCTGAGCACATGGCTTTCTGCACCAGCACAGACTTAGAGCTTAAAAATATCCAATCTGGTAGAACACGCAGAGAGAGAGAGAGAGAGAGAGAGGGTGGCGAAGCTGTGCTATCGAAATGTGCACGTAACCGCGGCCGCCTCAGCCGCCCCATCACCAGTCCCACCCCCCGCGGGAGCCCAGTCACACCAGCCCTGCACCTCGTCCGTGGGCAGCAGCAGGCGCTCTCGAGTCCCGGGCTCCCAGAACCACCAGCGGTCAGATGACAAAACCAGGAGGCAGCCAAAAAGACACCGAGGAACCTTCAGCACATGTGACTGAGTGAAAGAGGCCAGTCTCAAAAGGCTGTGTGCCGTGGGTTCCGACTACATGACATCTGGGGAGAGGCAGAACCGTGGCGACAATGGAAAGATGGGTGGGTGTCAGGGGGTGGGTTAGGGGGAGGGGTAACTAGGCAGAGCACAGAGGAATTCAGGGCGATTGTCACGATGCCGTGACAGTGGATGCACCTCGTTAGGCATTCGTCCAAACCCACGGAACGCAGGTCGCCCAGAGGGGCCCTCGTGTAAGCCGTGGACACGGGGTGATGGTGATAGAGGAAGGGGGGTTTGGGGGCCCCCGGGGGTGCTGATTACGGGGGAGGCTGTGCATGTTGGGGGGGCAGAGAGTAAATGGAAAACCTCTGCACCTTCCCCTCAATTGTGTTGTGAACATAAAACTACTCTCCAAAGTTGTTTTAATTAAAAAAAAAAAAAGTTTGTTAAAATAGACTCAGAGCATCGTCCTGACAAAGGTGCATTTTCCAGGCAGAGAGACCTTACCAGAGCCTCCTGTCTCCAGGGGAAGGACACCCCAGCCCCTCCTAAAGGGGTGGGGGGCACCGAGCGCCACTGATGACGGTCACAGCCCAGGACACAGGCCCAATACACACCACGGACCACCCCCACCCTCCCCACCTCCACAGCAGCAACGCCCCAACGTGGGACCAGCGAGTTCTGGCTGCAGGGCCACCTGGAGGGCTCCCTGCATGAGGAGGGCTTGGGGAGGCCGAGAGTCAGAGAGCAGAGGAAACCAGGGTCCGACGCGGCTGACGGCTCTGCCCTGATGGCCACAGCAGACGTGAGAGCAGAGGAGCCGAAGACCTCGCCCCATAGGCCTATTTACCTCCATCCCCACGGCCAGTACATGACGTCCAGCTCTCGACAAAAAAACTACAAGGCACTAAAAGGAAGGAGCATAATCTGAAGAGACGATCCTCAGGGCCAGACTCAAATCCAGCAGAGACATGGGGATTTTCAGACGGGAACTGTAAAACATCTACAATTAACATGTTGAGTTGTTTTTTTTTTAATTCTTTCTAATGTGTGTGTATTTTTTAGAGAGAGAGAGAGTGCGAGCAGGGGAGGGACAGAGAGGGCAGGAGACACAGAATCCAAAGCAGGCTCCAGGCTCCGAGCTGTCAGCCCAGGGCCCGATGCGGGGCTCGAACTCACAGACCGCAAGATAAGCCGAAGTCCGACGCTTAACCGACTCGGCCACCCAGGGGCTATGTTAAGGGCTCTAAAGGAGAAAGTAAGCAACAAACAAGAACATGTGGGTTATGTAAACAGAGAAATCGAAATTCTACGAAAGAATCAAGACGGAGCAATGGACGTCATGAACGTCTTCCACGGGTTCACCCGTAGGCCAGACACAGCCAAGAAAAAACACAGTGAGCTTCAGAATTGGTCGATAGAAACTTCCCAAACTGAAAGGCAAAGAGGAAAAGGGAGTAAAAACGAACTTTTTCTTTAACACAGCATAACAGCCAAACACTGGAGGATGATTTTAAAAGGTGTAGCATGCATGTAATTAGAAACCAGAAAGGAAGAAAGGACTGCGCAGAAGAAATGTTTGAAGTTTCCTAAGATAGACTTGCCTCAGTAGGGACGTTGTGAGCGTGATGAAGGGCATATTTTAAGCTCTATTAATATTAATTTCTAGACAGGGTCCGGGGGTGCTGCGGCTGGCTTGTACAGCCCACGAGCTGCAATTGTCCCAACTGTTTACCGACTCCATGTTCACAGGCTTTCCAAAGTCAATGACAGACACCAAACTGCAGATCCAGAAGCACAGAGATACCCCGGAGGACAAATGCCAAAACAGAAAAATAAAACCCCGACACTTGGGCATACCACATTCAAATGAGAAGACCTTGAAAAATGCCAGAGGGAAAAAATGCTGTGCCTGTAGACGGACAGGGACGATCTCGGCAGGTTCCCGCCAGAAACCATGCGGGCGGAGGAGAGCGGAGCGAAATACCGAGAGCGTTGGAAGGAAACACCTACTCACCTGGAATTCTCCATCCAGGAAACTTACCCTTCAACGATGAAGGAGAAATAAAGGCTTTCTCAGACACGTAGGAACCGAGCGAATTCATTTCCAGCAGAACTTCTTTGCACGGAGGGAAAATGAGAGAGGTCAGAAAATACGTTTAAAAAAGCAGAGCATCAGAGAAAACGTAGATAAAGATAAAATTGCGTATTTTTCTTATTCTTAGTTAATTTAGAAGAAAAAAAAGATACAAGACGGGCCAAATTAGCCCAAATATTCAGCAGAAAGTGATTATTTCCAGAGGTTTTTTTTTTTTTTTTTCCCTCAAACTTAATTGCGGACCAACCGCCGATCATTATGAGGACTTTCAAGTGATGTCAATGAAAGACACTGACAGCTGCAAATTCACGTCCCCTAAGCAGTAAATTTACAAGAATTAGTAACATTAAGAGGCAAACACTGAGAAATCCTCCCTTCCAGACTTAGTTGAGATGAAGCGCTGGCCGTGTAAGCTTCCCCTGAGGAGGGTGAGGCGTTCTGGATGCCAGGTGTCGGGGGCCGCTGCACAGGACGGACCGCGGAACCTGATAGAATCACAATGTTAGAGCCGTGGGGCATCTAACTGAGCACCCGGATGGACGTCCTCCTCTCTCAGATGACAAAACTGAGTCCCGGAGAAGCCGTCTCATTTGCCCACGATCAGGAAAATTCTGCCGGGCGCTGAAGCGTAGAGAAAAGAGGTCACTACCTGCAAACAGCCTGTTGATACACTTGTTACAGCAAATTCTCACTGAACATGTGAAAGTCTATGCATTTAGAAAAGGGTTTAATGCCATAGATTACCGTAAGAAATCTCTTTAACGGGAGTCGTCATAGGCATAGAATAACGTATGCCCATACACACGTATGCATATAATACATACGTGTGGTTGTATACACGCCTGTGTATACACACACACATATACACATACATATATATGTATATGTATGTATTTATCGGGGCTCCCCTTCAAAGGATTTATACGTGAGTCAAAAGTCAAATAACATATAGCAACTTTGAAGATACGTATGGGAGCACCTGCAGAAACTCAAAAACAACGGGAAGGAGGTGAACACTAAGCCTAAGCCATCTCCCCCACCCTCCAGCTCACACAACAGCCAGCCTCCTCTGTGCCCTCTCGGGGCTGACTACGCTATCCACTGTGCTGTGATAAGGACACCAGGTGACCCTGCTGCAGCCGATGCCTGGGCCAGAACACAACGATGACCAGGAACGATGATGCAGGAACAATGACCATTTTGCATCACACGAACGGTCAAGGGATCCAGGAAAGGCGGACTGACCCCAGAAGAAAGCTGCTGAGGGTATGGGGGTTCTTGGCAAACGCGCACGTTTGCGATGGAAATGAGCCAAGACAAGATGGAGAAAGGGGAAGGAACGTCTGAAATTCATTTCAGTTGACCTCATAAATTTTCACGTGGTCTTGATTGAAACAATGGAACATTTTCTCATCAAAAGGCCCAGAGCGCTGGATTTTCATATTGAGCGTGAAATGACACAATGAGAGACGAGAAACTTATTAGAGGCTTTTGTAGAATAACAATAATTATCACTGCTACTTCATTATACATAGCGTTGTTATTTTATTT